AGAGTCTTAACTTTGATAAAGAATATCTCTTTGGTTTTGAGACTTTAGTCTTTGCAACTTCAGGGATCTTATCTATTCACCAACAGCTTGTAACACTCCAAAGAGAAAGGAAAACTTGAAATCGCATCATATGACCCCTTTAACAAACATCCTCGCTGGTCACAAACACTCCATTCCACTCTGATATGATTCACAGTTTGTCTGGATTTTTACTCGGCTGTTTAGAAACACATCATATTTTTCACTCCAAGCCGACAAAAACACCAGAGAGTGTTCTGTTTTGAGTTTTCCACTAGAAATAATTTGAAGCCAAGAACAAAACATCAAAACGTCCATTAAACACGGGCAATCCAATTGAATTAGCGTAATAACATTGTCTTGGTTTATTGAAGCTCAATTCAAACTGAGTGTAGAGTGAAATGCAGCTTCCTTCGCGGCAGATGTTGGCAATCGTTTTGTCAGCAGCATTCAGCTTGAATTTCAACCAGTTTTTGCTTTCCTCTCTGTTTTTTTTTTGTTTTTTGTTTTCTTTTGAGGAATTGTGATCCAGAAGGTCACCTCTGTCTGAGCTTAACGTCTATTATTGGGAGTTAAGCATGATACTTTGAAAACATGATCATGCTGTTGATCAGAGAAACAGAACCTCTTTCAATAAGTCTACTCTTAAACCCGTCCGTCCCGCAACAGGAGGAAAATTTGAATGAAAGATAGAAAGGAGAGTAATTATCAGTTATATCACAGAGAGCAATCTCTCATAGACCAGTATGAAAACAAACCCATAATCATGTGTGTTTTGACAGACCTGTTCCCACGGTCAATAATCATAAACCATCCACTCGCCATGCTCGATAATATTTGTAGAAATATGAAAAGACTGGCCATTTTTCCATCAAGTCTGTAGTTTTTATTCATTTTATTCTCATAAAATGCACTTATTAGGTTAATTAGTCTAGTATTCCCACCATATATTGTGTTTATGCAGTCAGAAATAGTGAAATATGCGGCATATTTCTGTCTTCAGAAATGCCCACAGCTCCATATGGGCTGAATCAGTGTTTTCCAGAGCAAATTCAGTGAGTAACATATACAGGCAGACTATAAAGTTACTCATGACACATTCCACTGCTTAACTCCTCTGTAACGCATATGCAGGGAAATTAACTGCTCATTTTGTGGGGTCACACTTAAACACTCTCAGACAGAGTTGCTCTTTTCAAGGATACGTTTTCCCTACAGTCTTCGGCCGATCTGCCTTTGTCTGTTTCGAATCATATTTCTGTAATTCAAAATGGAAACAAAGAGAGAAAGGGGTATTCAGAGAGCTGGGGACACTTACCTGACATTTACATTTATAGTCTTTCACTGCAGCTCTCATTTCAAATATAAACCAAATAATATTCTAACAATTATTTCTGCTAATACAATTTCTGTTTAAATACACATGTACGTAATATTTTTTGAAGAAATTACTACTATGCATTAAATGATTAAAAGTGACTATGAAGACGTTTACACTGTTACAAAAAAAATGAATTTCAAAGAAATTCTGTTAATTTTTGCTGTCACAGGAATAAATTAATGTAAAAATATATAAAATAGATAATAGTTGTTTTAAATTATAATATTAATAATATATAATATAATGCAATATAAATTATTAATAATATATATATATATTTAAAGAAATTAATACTAGGATGCATTAAATTGATCAAAAGTGACAAAAATGTATTTAGAAGAAATTCTGTTCTTTAGCTTTGTGGTCACATGAATAAATTCATTTAAAATGTATTAAAAAAGAAAACAGTTATTTTAAGTTATAATAATATTATAATATAATAATATAAATGTTATATATTATTATATATAATAATTGAATATAAATGTTATAAATTGTGTATACATAAATTGTATAATATAATACATATAATTTTTATTTTATATACAGATATTATTTTTAAAGCATTTTTAACATTTTAAAGGCTTGCTCTATATTATTATCACAGAAAATCATTATTTTTAAGACTCTACCATTCTAATTTGTAATATGTGACCCTGGACCACAAAACCAGTCATAAGGGTCAAAATTGAGACTTATACATCATCTGAAAGCTGAATAAATAAGATTCCCATTGATGTATGGTTTGTTAGGATAGGACAATATTTGGCCGAGATACAACTATTTGAAAATCTGGAATCTGAGGGTGCAAAAAATAAAAAATCTAAATATTGCGAAAATCGCCTTTAAAGTTGTCCTAATGAAGTTCTTAGCAATGCATATTACTAATCAAAAATTACGTTTTAAAGGGGTCCTATTATGCTTTTTCACTTTTTTAATTTTAGTTAGTGTGTAGTGTGTATGTTTGGGCATAAAAAAGATCTAGAAAGTTACAAATCTCAAAGTCCACTCCAAAGGGAGATATTTCGTTTTTTTTAAATCCCTTTTCAAGAACTACAACGAGCGGCTCGTTAGGACTACAGAGTTTGGTTTTCCGGCTTTGTGATATCACAAAGCGGCCCATTAGAATATCATTATAAATAATTCCCGCCTACAGAAATTCTAATGGTTGGGGGGTGGGGAGAGGCGAGGTTGTGGTTAGAATGAGACGACGAAGAATAAGAGCTGCTGCAGAGTTAGTGCATCAGAGAAAACCAAGAAGAAGAGCTGCTGTGCTGTAGCGTCAAATACCCCCGCTCTGCACATTTTGTATGTTTCTCTTATTGCTTCATACGTTTGTTATATTTGACTGTAAGTGCGCAACTCTGTTCCTGAGCATTATAACCCCAATTTGCTATTGTGTGCTGCGCATTTTACTGAGGACAACTTCCACAACACGAGGGAGTACAGTGCCGGATTCTCCCAAAAGCTTTTGTTGAAAGACGGAGCAAGGGGCGGGGCAGTAATGAAACACTGTCTAAGCTGTTCGCCAATCACAACACATTGGGACAGCTAACCAATCACAACACATTTTGTTTTTCGGAAGGCGGACCTTCATCAAAGACAGAACTAATCGGGCCGTTTGTGCCAGGCGGGGGAGAAAGGTATTTTAATAATGTAAATTATGTGAAAAATAATGCGTTTTTCGAACCACCAAGCATGAGAGCATGTTCTAGTACACCCCCAAAACAAAATCAAGACTTTGTAAAAGAGCATAATAGGACCCCTTTAATATATTTACAGTAGGACATTTACAAAATATCTTCATGGAACATGATCTTTACTTAATATCCTAATGATTTTTGGCATAAAAGGAAAATCAATCATTTTGACCCATACAATGTATTTTTGGCTATTGCTACAAATATACCGCAGCGACTTAGGGTCACATATTTAGAAAAGGAGTGTTAAGTTTTTAAATGCTTAAAGATTTTCTAAAGGGTCCTCTTTAAAAAAAAATCAGTGCATACTGTAGAAACAGTTCTTTAAGTTACAGTACCTGATTTTCTTTTTTAAGCCTTAAAATCTGTTTAATGTAGAAGCTGATCTGAAAAATATCTTTTGAGTCTGAGACACAACAGTGTTGAGAACTTCAGACCTGGAGTTTCTCAAAGCAGGGCTACTGTGTGATCACTGCTGATGTTTGTGATCTCTCTGTGCCTTGAAGGGTTTGTCTTTCAGGTCTTTTAATTTCTTAAACACATACCTACATCTGTAGCCAGAGGTCGTTAGAGCTCCAGAACAATCTGGAGACGTTAATTCAATTTGCATTCTATCCAAAGGAAATGCTGATCTTCCTCTGCAGAAGCCCTGAGGGATACACCGCTGACTGCGTTCTTACATACTTCTGTCTGCTTTGAATTCCTGAGCATAAATCCTCCCCGGGGGAAAGTTGAATGGGAAGATCAACAATCCCTCCTCACTGTTGCGACTGATGTGTGCCATCACATTGCGCTTCAAAAGGGCTTCAGGCCCAAAGCAAACTCAGCTTCCTGATCATTTCAGTCTGTGGCATCATAAGATGAGTTGAGGCGATGGGATGGATGATCCAGACGTCTGCTGGAAGAGTATATAGAGACTATAGGAAATGGTCAGGGACTAGACGACTCCGTTCTTTACTAAAGTTTCTCCAAAACAACTTTGGAGCAACTTTTAAGTTTTTCATAAGAATATTTAAACCCCCATCTGAAACAGTATTAACATATGATTACTCATGTTAAAGGGGTAGTTCATCCAAAAAATAGCCAATTAATATTTTCTATATTTAATACAATCACACTGGTGTGATTATAACATTCAGTGCATCAAATCATCAGCTGCTAAATTCAAATCTGCGTTTGCTGGCTGGCGCTGAGACCGATACAGACGCGTTTTTACAGCACTGCGCATTTACCAATCACAAACAATGTTGTTGAGCTTATGAATGCAATGACCAATCAGAGGTGTCCAGATGAGTCATCGCTAAAATGCTGGTGTTTTCTTCATTCGCTCGCTGAATGAATACCTCTACAAATTGCAAATGTGTGTACGAATCTGTAAGATATTATTTTCATAGTGTAAACAGCTTCAGTGATTTTAATGGGAGTTTTTGAGAGTGCTTGAACTAGACTGTCAGTGAAAATGTTCTTTGATAATGTCTCTGCTCTCTTTCTGTACAATGAAAGCGTTATGATTAGTAGCCTAACTTGCAATGTTTTTATTCACATTAACTTTCAATGTTAAATTCACATTAAATATAAACTCAGTCGTATTAAAATATGTTATGGCATGACATCCATATCTGTTAATTAAGTAAACAGACAGGTTTTTATGCATAGTTAATAGATTACATTATTAGGTTACTTTGACCATCGCCCATTACAGATCAACATAATCTGTAAGGTGAGAATCAAGATATTTCATGATATAGTTAATGCGTTTGGGGATGTTTCGAATAAAAAGGGAAAAAGAAATAAAACATACGTGCTGTTGTGGCTGCTGTGTGTCACATGACGACCCCCCCCCCAACTCATCCCCCCACAAAAATAATGAGTGCATGACGCCCCTGATACTATATTACTCTTGCTATTTTTGTAGTAATGAGTATACTGCATGTGCACAGTAAACAAATATTCAAATTACCTACTGTATTTGCATATTGTTTAGAATATTATATGCCACAATGCAATGTGATCTTCCATTTCCTATGATGAAGGCACTGGATTCAATAAATTATATATAAATAGTTATATTTTGCATTACATTTAGCATTACATATTTTTATTTTTTGAAAGAGAGAAATTAATACTTTTATTCAGCAAGGATATAGTAAAGACTTTTATAATGTTAAAAAAAATCAGTTTCACAATAAATGCTTCAAATACATTTTAATTGTATTTTAAATACAACTCTGGTGAGCATGAAAGACTTCTTTCAAAAAACAGCCTACAAATGCCAATCTTTTATACAGTAGTATGGAGCATCTGAGTGTTCCAAACACTCTCATATTGCAGATGTTTGTGCTTTCTGTAAGGTTGATAATGCAGCTGTGGCGCTCTCTAGTGCACGATCAGAGAGTTTACTAATATTGGAGACTCCCTTTACACTTGATGTAACTGGGTCCAGCTATTTTTGCCTAAAATTATACTTGGACTGATATCTGATTTCAAACTAACATATTTATATATCTGAAAACCCATTACAATTATGTTTTTTTTTTTTTTTTTACACAACTTGGGAATTAAGGCCCTTAACTGAGCCTCTGCCGTTCTCACATTTATTGTGTATATTGTGTACATAGTATACAATTACAGTTAACAACACACATTATACACAATATTATGTATTTGTATATTGTTCATTGTCTGTAAGTTTGTAAAATTGTATAGTGTGTTGGTGATGTAAAAGTAAAAGTGATTTGATATAAAACATCTTGCAGTCCTCCCATCTGCAGCATCCTAACACACGTCCCTTTGCTTTGCAGGACTGTGCAGCTGAACGGAGAGCCCTTGCGTATGGTGGACAATGAGACATTTCCTGAGCTGAAGCCACGGACGCTCAGGGCAGGAAGAACGATAGCCATGCCACCTGTATCTATCGGCTTCTACGTCATCAAGAATATTAACGCTTACGCCTGTCGCAGATAACACACACTGACCGACCTCAGACGATATCCGTGGCCTTCTGCTCTTTTTAGGCTGTGTTCCACATGACGCCCCCCCCCCCCCCAACTCATCCCCCCACAAAAATAATGAGTGCATGACGCCCCTGATACTATATTACTCTTGCTATTTTTGTAGTAATGAGTATACTGCATGTGCACAGTAAACAAATATTCAAATTACCTACTGTATTTGCATATTGTTTAGAATATTATATGCCACAATGCAATGTGATCTTCCATTTCCTATGATGAAGGCACTGGATTCAATAAATTATATATAAATAGTTATATTTTGCATTACATTTAGCATTACATATTTTTATTTTTTGAAAGAGAGAAATTAATACTTTTATTCAGCAAGGATATAGTAAAGACTTTTATAATGTTAAAAAAAATCAGTTTCACAATAAATGCTTCAAATACATTTTAATTGTATTTTAAATACAACTCTGGTGAGCATGAAAGACTTCTTTCAAAAAACAGCCTACAAATGCCAATCTTTTATACAGTAGTATGGAGCATCTGAGTGTTCCAAACACTCTCATATTGCAGATGTTTGTGCTTTCTGTAAGGTTGATAATGCAGCTGTGGCGCTCTCTAGTGCACGATCAGAGAGTTTACTAATATTGGAGACTCCCTTTACACTTGATGTAACTGGGTCCAGCTATTTTTGCCTAAAATTATACTTGGACTGATATTTGATTTCAAACTAACATATTTATATATCTGAAAACCCATTACAATTATGTTTTTTGTTTTTTTTTACAACATCTGAGGATTAAGGCTCCTAACTGAGCCTCTGCAGTTCTCACATTTATTGTGTATATTGTGTACATAGTATACAATTACAGTTAACAACACACATTATACACAATATTATGTATTTGTATATTGTTCATTGTCTGTAAGTTTGTAAAATTGTATAGTGTGTTGGTGATGTAAAAGTAAAAGTGATTTGATATAAAACATCTTGCAGTCCTCCCATCTGCAGCATCCTAACACACGTCCCTTTGCTTTGCAGGACTGTGCAGCTGAACGGAGAGCCCTTGCGTATGGTGGACAATGAGACATTTCCTGAGCTGAAGCCACGGACGCTCAGGGCAGGAAGAACGATAGCCATGCCACCTGTATCTATCGGCTTCTACGTCATCAAGAATATTAACGCTTACGCCTGTCGCAGATAACACACACTGACCGACCTCAGACGATATCCGTGGCCTTCTGCTCTTTTTATAAGCCCACAGAGACGTGGAAAAGACCCCTTCGTTCAAGCAAGGGTTGCACTGAATGCTTCCAACAACATTTCTCCTCTTTTTTTTTTTTTTTTTTACCACAAGAAAAGCTCGACTTGTGGAAAGGGAATGTATTTTGGTTGCCCTTTTGTGTTTTTTGTCACTTTCAGTTGCAGGAGTGTAATGAAGTCTCACGGTGCTCTGTCCCTGACAGCTTTGTAATCCGATGTTGAAGACCAACGTAAGCTATGAACCCAGTGCCAATGTGCGGTTCAGATGCGGTACGATCATTACGAAGCAGATCAATCAGAATGTTCACATTTTCTGCGGCAGTTTTGTGGGGAAATCTGTGCAATGGGTGTAAACATGGTCAAATTTGTTAAACAGATATGACAGCACTTCATTCTCATTGGTAGCTAGAAACATGATCAGATTAGCCAAAATATTTTAATGATGAAAATGCGAAGGACGTAAGTGACAGCCGTTCCAATTCTCCGGGGTTCTGTGGGTGCGGATTCTGTGTGGGCCTGTCTGTCAGCTTAATGTGTTCCTGGATCAACATCCTTGTTGGTTCTTAAACAACATTCCAGCTTAACAGCCAATCAGATTTTAGGGTTAGATTTTAGGGGCTTGAACAATGTTCTTTTCAACCAATCATTTCCCTTGGATTTTAGAGGTAGGTTATCCTTTGGGTTGCAAGTCTTAGAACTATGATTGCTTGCTAGAAATGTTGTTCCAGGACCAACAAAGGAGGTTAATCCTGCTAAATCTCATAGTACAAATAACAGTTTGATCTGAATTACATCTCTCTTGTGTACTTTTTTTGGATTCTGTGGTCTAAAGCCACTCAAAAGGCACAGGTCCAAATCTTGATCTGTAATCTTATTTTTCATCACAGGACAGTAAATATAAACCTCCTATTTAAACCCAGCTTTATAAACTTATAACATTGACCCATGACCTGAAAAATAGCTTGCATCTCTATCCCATGAGTTTTTTCGGTTGCTGCTTTATAATTTTAAACTGTATGACGATGAAGGTACTATATGGGAAGATACAGATGCTTGCTAAATCGTCCTTATATTTCATTGCTAAATTAAAAAAGGAATTACATAATACACAACCATCTTTATGTGATTCGTCAGTTCTCTGAGAAATACTGCTATATATTTATAATGTTTACAAGTTTGACTTCCCATTATAGCTCAGACTCTTTTGAAGGCTGAAAGGAAATAGTAGGGAGTCTTTGAAGGTGTCTCTTTGCTTTATGAAGAACTGTGTATCATACAATTTGTTGCAGTGCTCAGGAAATTAGCTTGTCTATTAGCGTCATGTACACATGCCACTTTTTTTTGTTTTTTTTTGCTGTAACATTGTAAACCTGAGCTTAGTTCTCTAAATTTATTTTGCTACATTAACACTACCTTATTCAGGGGCCCTGGAAAGTGCAAGAAAATTAAGCCTCACTTATAATAATTACTTTAGATCAAAGATATTATATCAGTTCAAGTGGTATTTATTTTTCTAGAACATTACATTTCACAAAAATAATTTTTTTTCAAGTAATTTAAAAAGTCATGGCAAAGACAAGTATCATACATTCTGAAAAACTGCCATTTGGCTTGATATTTTGTAGTTTAGGTTTTTTTAATATTTGTTTTTGAAAACATTTTAAGTGTTGCCAAAGTGTGCAAATACTTTTAGGGCCGCTATAAATCCCATGTACAGTGATTAATTTTTGCTGCTAGCTGTCTAATTAATATTAAGCATGATGAGTGATTAATGTTTTTTTTTTTTGACAAGTACAAACCTTTTGTTATATTAATAAATGTACATACAATTGGTTTTTGATTTAAACTGTGTGCTTTATCGTTCTATAAATATTATTTATATAAATGTATATGTGTGGGTGTGTGTGTGTGTGTGTGTGTGTGTGTGAATTTTGTCCACATTGGCAGAAGATTATATTGTACTTTTTGTAAAACATACAACAGAGACTGATGTTAATGTTTAGCAATGACAATGTCCTTTTAAATTCAAACGTATTGAGTTGCTCACAGTATGCACACATGTGTATCACAATGTTTTATACTTGTATATATTCTTTGGTCACTTATTCACAATGCAAAAATAGTGATTCAGCATTCAAACGGATTATATGAATTCTGTAAAAAGTTTAGTTTTTTTCCCTCCTCGGGCTTGGCTCTTTATACGGTTATGACAGCGTTTGATTTTCCAGGGTCAATAATTCTGTCAGCATCATAATGTTTCTTTAGATTCGCAAGATTCTGTTGTGATTTTAGAGAACTGTAGGGTCTTTGATTTGTGAAATTACCCATTTACAAGCTATTTTCCTTCTTGAATGTTTTTATTGCAAATTTAGAGTTGTTAATATTTTTTCAGTTAAAGAGCATTATTTTATTATGAAAATGGTTGTCTGAATATTATTTTTGTCAAAATATATAAATAAAATATTAGTTAAAATGTTTATTGAAGATCTTGTTTTCGACTTGTTATTTACAATAGTTAATGTATTGAATATTCAATGTGTATATACACTGTAAAAAAAGTTGCTGCCTTAATTTTTTAAGTAAAATAAACTTGTAACGCTGTAACTTGTAAACTTAAACGCTGTTTAAGTCATTTCAACTTAAATGACATTAAAATGGCTTATAAAATGAGTTGAAATAAAATCAAACTCAACTTAAAATAAAGTTGAAAATTGTTTAAAGTAATTGTAGTTGCTGTTAAAGTAATGTAAAACATATGTCATAACTTATTGGTCATATATTTTTTTACATTGTGTGTGTATATATATATATATATATATATATATATATATACACAACGTATAGTATTTATAATATATATTAATTTCAGTAAACGAAAACAAGTCTTCTGTAATTTTACATCTGCGTTAATCTTGGTTTGGAATTTTATTTGGTTTGATATTTAACAAACAAAAATGCGAATAACATTATTCATTTTATTTTATTATTTATTACACTGTAAGTTAGTGACTACTTTGATGGCTCTTGTGGTCTAAATTTTAATAAATTAAAGTAATTATTAATATCTTATGTAATTTTACATCTGAAATATATTCATCTTGGTTTGACAATTAATTTGGTTTGATTTTTAACAGACAAAAATACTAAGAATATTCATTTTATATTTAATTTAATTGTTTTTACAGTGTAAGTTAGTTAGTGTTAGTGAATATTTTGTTGGTTCTTGTGGTCTAAATTTCAGTAAATGAAAGCAATTCTTAATATCTTCTGTAATTTTACATCTGAAATACATTAATCTTGGTTTGACATTTTAATTGGTTTGATATATAACAAAGACAAAAATGCTAAGAACATTATTTTTATTTTATGTATTTATTTTTGCAATGTAAGTTAGTGACAATTTAATGGTCATTGTAGTCTAAATTTCAGTAAGGCAAAAGCCTGCTGGGTCTTGCCAGACTTTGTGACCATTGACCAAGTGTGAAAGAGTATGAATTATGAATCCAGGCTCTTTCAGCCTTCAAAAGAGTCTGGGCTATGGGGAACTTCAAATTTTTAAACATTACAAATATGTATTATATTAGTACTATATTATAGTTCAAATATAGTATTTATATACATATGTAAATGAAAACTGTTCAAGTACGAGCAGTGTATGACTATTTAAGAGACTGTCCTGTGACATAGAGGCTGAATTGTAGTATTCCAGCACATGTTCAGGAGTGCAAGATAGCAGGATAAAAGCAAGCTAAGAGCTCAGTGATTT